AAATTGCCACGTGTTTATGCTTCTTAATTCTCTGTGGTTTTCCTGTAGGGGAAGTGACCACATGGAACTTTCCATCGTTGGATAGCCTTTATATTACCAGGAACAATTTGATCATCTATTGAGTGAGATCGTTGAAATAAATCATATTAAATGTCATTCTTAAGACAACACTAATATTATTATAAAAGCTGAAGGGAAAACATTTTGCAGCTGTTTTTTAAAATTAACTAAAGGTAAGCAAACCACAGTACTGGCACACAAAGAGACTATTACTTTTGGTTATTGTTGTCATGCATAAGCTTGACCTCTGTTTTCTGCTTAGAATTTTCTCATGGTGATTTTGAATGTTTGTAACGATGAACTGAATGTCTGAAGCATTTTATTGATTGTGTGAAGTGTAAGTGGAACATAGAATGTCTTCAAAGAGTGGTTTGTGGATGGTGCTGCAGCAGCCCTCATGAGACCATCAGTGGACACACGTATGGACGCATGTAGCCTGTGCTTCCTACTTGTTATTGCTCTTTGCTTTTTCCTAATTTAATGTAACATTGAGATTTTTTTCTTTTGTGGAAGTGAAATTAACCGGGGGAGAGAGTAATGAGGAAGAATGTGTTTTTTTTTTCAAATTCGCACTCATATGCTTGTCTGGGTATAATACATAAATATTTATATCACGTTTTTACTCAAGTATGTGCAAAATGCTATTTCCCATTCCGTGCTGCAGACATCAGCCTGTACATTGATACTTATGCCAGGTACATGTTTGACCATGTGAATGTTATAACTGAAAAAGTATTTCATGGATCATATTTTTGCTTCATGAAAAAATTATATGGATGAAGATTTACTCCTGATTATATTTTCAGATTGCTCCAACAGTGAAGCAGAAGTGCTGTGTGGCAGCCAAGGAAGAAAATGGCAGCAATTTTATAGATTCTTTTCAAATATTGCATTAAATGAAGAAGCAATAAATCTATAAGGTATATATTAATCCTGTATCCCACCCGATACACTGCAGCGACAGTGAATTTTCCTGTCTAAATCATAAGCATTCATTGCAAGTGGTCCTTCGGATGCAGACTGTTTCTCTGGATCATGAATAATGAGTCCATCCCCTCAACCTATCCCGAACGTCCTCTGCAGCAGCGTATCCGACCACCCTACCTGCAGGATTATCAGACTGAGTTCAGCCAGCAACGTAAGCAAGATTGTCCAGTAAGTAACACCACGGTATTCTTTCCCAAGCCACACTTCCGCATCTCTATTATTAGAGGTTGATTAATATCCACGAAAGTGTGACCATAAGTCATTCTAACCTCTGGCATGGTGGCAGCAAGAAGACTCCTGAGCCACTCCAAGAGGCGAGAATAACAGTGATTAGAAACTAATAACATGGCAAACTGTGCACCAAATGAATGGTGTTTAACTGAGCATGAAATTTAATCTACATGCTATCCCTGGACAGAAGAGCAAGGTTAACAGTCTCCAATCAACACCCATACATTTACATGTTTGGCAGATGCTTTTGTCTAAAGCAATGTGGCAGGACAGTCCTTGGTGAATCTGAATAAAGTATCGAGTCAAAACATTGCAAGTGCGAGTCAAGTATCCAGTCATGTGCCCTCAAGTCAAAGTCAAATCCAAGTCTTTCCATAATTTTTGCTGTCGAGTTACTAGTTTAGACAAATTTGTGACTCAAGTCCAAGTCGAGTTGTGAGTCATGTAACTTGAGTCCCTACTTGAGTAACCTATGTGTGTGTTTTTTTTTTTTACCTTTAGTGATTAAAACTTGCTGCGGCAAAAACCCGCCACAGTATGTTCTAGGTTAAGTCCTTCATAAGCAGAGATAGGTTGAAAAGAGTCTCCATTCTGTCACAGTTGTCCTCATACCGCTTTTACATCCGTGTACATGCAGAGAGTGAGCCATCTTTCCAGCAAACTATCTCAGGAGACCTTGCATTCAGCCAAATGAAAATTCAGACTCCAGAGATTTAATATACATTAAAATTACTAAATTAGCATGATAAGATCCAGGGGGACTATAACCTCAACTCTACTTGGGTCATAGGGTCCAAATCTCAAGTCATTTGCCCTTAAGTCCAAGTCCTTCCATCAGTTTTGCGAAACTGGGAGGCATAATTTCTCTACATAGAAATAGAGGGATCTCCATGTCTTATAAAATTTGGGAGTAGAGGCCTTCATTGTATGTCTATTTTCTATTTTTTCCAATTTCATGAAAGGAAGGGGAACCAAAGTAATTTCCTCTATTCCACCGCCTCGTGTTGCACTGTTTCTGCAATGTCTGTACATTTTGCACATTTGCACTCTATGTAGTCCTGTGTCGATGTAGTGTTACACGTAGCACCATGGTCCTGGAGGAACGCTGTCTCATTTCACTATGTGCTGTATTACTGTATATGGTTGAACTGGCAATAAAAGACGCTCGACTTGAGGGGGCAGTGGGAGACGTCCACCTGAGCAAAACAAGATGACGTTCCAAGGTGATAAATGCAACAAAATCATCTTTATATGAAGAAAGAACCATTCAGGATGGGAGGGTATCAAACAGTGCAGTAAAACAAAGGGTTGCATCACTAGTCCTAAGACTTCTGACCCAAAGACCTTGGACCAATATTCGTTCAGGGCTGGGCAGAACCAAAAGGTATGTGCAGGGTTGTGGGGGACAAGGGGGATTAGCATTGGGGTAGATTATGTAACTTTAGTCCAGTGGATGAAGGCGTCTGTTGACATAATAAAAACATAGCAGAGCTTACAAAAAGAGTAGAAATATATTTATTTAAGAGTAATGGATATTCATGTTTGCAGAGGGAATAAAAAAGTAAAATCAAATTATCCATTATACAAATTGATAACTTTTTGTTGCATTAAGTAAAGCAGAATAGGTTTATACTGGAGAACACAAAAGATCAAAAAATTCTACATGTATGTCTACACTGTAAAAAAAAATCCCGTTGTTTTTACAGAAAAAAGCTGGCAGCTGTGGTTACCAGAATTATTCTGTAAAAAATATTGTACACATGTAAACAACTTTACAGAAACATCTATAAATTGTACTGGATTTCAATGTAAAACAACTAAATTAACAGAAAGAAGATGTTGAATCTACAAATTAACTATGTAAAAGAACTACATCAGGCACCCAAAGAGCACCGAACCAATCATACACAGGAAACACGAGGTTGTCAGACGCTCAACTGTAAGTCCGCACACGGAAATAACCTATATAAAGGTCATATATGTTTTAATATAGGTTTTGATATAGGTTTTTAATATATGTGACATATATAAAATTGGCCGTTTTCCTATATTATATGTACATATATGCACATATATGTTCACCTATATGTTCACCTATTATTAAATTATTATTAAATTATTATTACTAAAATTATTAAAATCCATAGCTGCTAGACAACATAAATTAAAGCCCAAAATGTAGTAATTTAAATTTTTTATTTACATTTAGCAAGTGTCTTGTCACACAACGACAGTCTGCACCTGCAGGAGCCAGGATTCAAACCCCCAACCTTCTGATCATAGGATGACCCGCTCTCCCATCTGTGCCACTGTTGCCATTAAATTTCTTTTTCTTTTTCCTCTGTTTCTCCCTCTCCCTCCGAAGGTTGGCGTGAAAAAGAAATGTTCTTCTAAATACAACTGCATAGTAAATGTTTCAGGAAAACGTGTAGACATCATAGCTTTCCATCTCCTCTCACTTATTTGCCATAGTTAAATTCCATAACATGCCAATTACACGTGATACTAATTTCACGTGTTCGCACATAAGTTTTTTGCATTTTTTTTTTTTTTAGTTAGTTCTTAGTTATTGCCTTGATAATAGAAAATATGAGCTAGGCATCATGTATGACAGTTGCCAAAGTGAGATATGAGCTAAAATGACCAGATCCTGCCATGAGCTATATAGGAGACATATGTACATATAGGGCTTATATGTGGATATAAAGAAGCAATACAGGAGACCTACAGTATATGGCCTGTATATGCACATATATGCACCTCAATTTTGCCTATATGTGGCATATATGCAGCATATATATATTATCATATATAGGCATATATACTTCATATAGGTTTCATATATGCGCATATATCCTCATATAGGTTCTTTCCATGTGGGAATACAGGAGACCTATATGACCTGTATATGCACATATATGCACCTCAATTTTGCCTATATGTGGCATATATACGCATATATGCAGCATATATATGCATATATACTGCATATAGGTTTCATATATGCACATATATCCTCATATAGGTTCTTTCCATGTGGGTCGCATACACGGTGGAAGATTTACGGATGCTAATTACACACGAGGATCGGACAGGGTACACATAAGACACAGGTAAACACACGCGACAATAAGGAAATATAACCATTAGCAATAACAACAACAATACAAGGGCTATTTAAAAATGCGCGGGGCATGCTGGGACATGAGCCCCGCCGGTGCTGCAGTATTTTTTATCACCTCAGTGGAAAAATACCTTCTTATCAACGGACCAGAGGTGTTGCCATGAGGTGAAGTTCTGACGGTAGCCCCAAATGTACCGTCAAAAGCTGTCTGACAAACCAGAAATCCTGAGTTGTGTGGACTATTTCTTGTTGGTTCGTAACGCACGTAGCAAAAAGCAAGTGTTGATATATCATTTAAAGTTTTACTGTTTCTCATCTGTAAAGCACAGAATATTAATTTGTAAAATGTAACACGGGTATCTTTCAGTATAAACAAAGTTGACCTGATTAAAAAAATATTATTTTCACACCGTTATGGTGTAATTTTAACTGTATTGTACTGGTTTTTATATTGCAGTTTGTTTGCGTTTAAACTACAGTAATTTGTTAACTCTACCAAAAAAATATTTTTTTAAAGATATTTTTACTGAAAAATTAACAGTTGTTTTTTGTTAAGTATTTTACAAAATCTTAATGTCAAATATACGCTGCTCTATTGTTTTTCCTTTTACAGTTTTTTTATGTCGTTATTTTACAGAATTTCTCAGTTAATTTCACGGACATTTTTTGCAGTGTATAATATTCCATTGATATACTATTTAAAGAGAAGTGACATTCGTAGCTGTAATGGACTGTTCGCTTCTGCTTGTCTGGGACTGCTGTGATGTGACTGGGGAAATAATAAACTTATTATACAAGCAGGTTATCCGGTTAATGTGTTTATACAGGTGCTTCCTGAACCTCTCCTTAACAAAGACGTAAATGATGGGATTCAAGCAGGTGTGGGAGTAGGCTAGAGCCTCCGTCACCTGCAGGCTCAACTGAATGGCTTTGCTGGATTCACATGCTGTGTAGATACCGAGCACTTCTAGTGCCTGGAAGAATGATGCAATGTTGTAGGGGGTCCAGCAACAGAAAAACACCACAACCAACATAAGCACAAGGCGTATGGTCTTGTTGTTTGTTGAATTGTGACGGAGTATTTTTCTCAGGATCACTGAGTAGCAAAACACCATAATGAAAAATGGAATCAGAAGACTGGCAACATTCATTTTAAACAGGCCAAACACTCTCAGGGATGTTTCACTGAGATAACCAACTTCACACAACCTTGTGTTACTTTGTAGATGAACGTCAATGAGCGTTAACTCAGGAAATGAAGCCAAAAGTCCTACGATCCAGGTTATGACGATCATGATGACTCGATATTTGCGTGATATGGTCTTGAGGGACTTCGAGGCATGAACTACAGCCAGGTACTGGTCGATGCTCATGATCACGACGAAAAAGATGCTGCTGTTGAAGCCAATATAGTAGCTGCCCATGACGACTTTGCACATGACAGACCCAAAGACCCAGTCTGCTCTTGCATAGTGGGCCAGGAAGGGAAGGGTGATGAGCAGCAGAAGATCTGCCACGGCCAGGTTCAGGAGGCAGATGTCAGTGATACGCAGCTGCTTCACTGACATCAGCATGATCCACAAGACGAGGCCATTGCTGATCACCCCAAACACGAAGAGCAGGGAATAAAACACAGGCAGGAACACAGCGCTGTGTCTCTCATACTTGCATGGTCCAAAACCCTCAAAGTCATAGTCATAGATGTATTCATGGGTGGTATATTCTTCAGTGGAATAGTGGTCACTGTAAAATATAATACAAATTAATTAAGAAATTCAGTACAAATAAATCTAATTAGAAGCAAAGAAATAAAATTTAAATTGTCTATCAATTTCATTAAATATTAACAGTAGATAAACAATGTTTTTACAAAACAGAATCACCTTACAATTTATTATCAAGCACTCAATAAGGAATAGAGCCACTCTTTGCCTTCAGAACAGTTTCATTCCTTCTTAGAGTGCTATCACATTTAACTATGTGTGGTGGGATACTAGACCAGTTAGACTAGACTGGTTGGCGACTCCACTCTGTTGCTTCACGTGGCCCCTGCCACTTTGTGGTTGAGATAATGTTGTTCCTAAATGCTTCCACTTTGCATTACCACTTACATTTGACCGTGGAATTTCTAGCAGGAAAGAAATTTCACGAACTGACTTATTGTAAAGGTGCCATCCTGACACACTTGAATTCACTGAGTTCTTCAGAATGATGAATTCTTTCACAAATGTTTGTTAACCAGACTGCATGACCTTCAGATTTTAACCAAACTGGTCTCAATCGTTTGTGCTGCATTTGTGCTGGGTTATACCATTGAAATTTTCATTTGTGCTGTTTTAGTTTCTGGGATATCAATGTTTCTTAACATGGTGACATCACTAGTACAAAGCTGGCCCCCCATTTGCGTCCGATTTCGACCAAACCAATCGCAATCGCTTGTACGGCGCTTGTGCTGGTTTGTGCCATTGAAATTGGCATTGGTGCTGCTTTAGTTTATGAGATACAAATGGTCATGTAACACCAGCGTTAAGTTAGCCCCCTATTTGCGTCCGATTTTGATCAAACTGGTCTCAACCATTTGTACTGCATTTATGCTTGTTTGTACCGTTGAAATTTTTGTTTGTGCTGTTTTCATTTCTGAGATATAAATGTTTCTTTACAGGGTGGCATCACCAGTGTGAAGTTAGCCCCCCATTCGTGTCTAATTTTGACCAAACTGGTCTCGATAGTTTGTGCCCTTTGAAAATGGCTATCAATCCCTGTCATTCGGCTCCTTCTCCCGTCCAGGAACTTATCCCCATGCTACATAGGACTCTTTAAGATTCTCCATCGAATCGACCCTGTGTCTTACCACATGTAGTTGCTAAGTCATTACCAGAGTGCCCCAGTGTCCCACGTCTTTCTTTTGAAGCCAGCCCGTTACAGCCCATTGCATCCTCCCACTGACCACCTGGTGCCCCTGCCTCTGTTAGTCATCGATGGTTCCTGAGCATGCACAGTCCATGACATGTCATCGATGGTTCCGCAGCATGCACAGTCCATGACATGTCATCGATGGTTCCTGAGCATGCACAGTCCATGACATGTCATCGATGGTTCCTCAGCATGCACAGTCCATGGCTGTTTGGATTCCTGGTGAGTGGCCGCCTACAGTACTCATTGACTGGGAGAGGTATGGTTCAGAAGAACAACGCTGACATCCTTTGGTCATTGTGAACCCCTCCTTGTCAACAGAATTTGACCAGCAGAACCTAGACTGACCAGCACCTCGACCATGTAGTCACCAAGGGCGTCAATCTTGACTGCCAGGGTTGCCTGTTGGTTGGGGGGAGGGGACTGGGAGGTCTCCTTCACTGGAGGAGTGACAGCTGCTGATCATCTTCACTCTCAGGATAGACCGGATAAACTTACGGAAACCTTAAAAGCCCCTAGCCAGAAACAAATTTCATGAGGCATAAAGCAACCCAACTGATAGGTGCCTCTTTCTAAGTAGATTTCATCAAAAATAGCTAAAGCTAATTTTGCTCGTGCTTCAGAATATTACTACCTGCCTACGTCCCTGATTGGTAACGAAAAAAGTTTTGGGGGGATTAAAACCCCTTATTTTATGTGGCTAAGTGCTTAAACCTTTATCACCAGTTCGTGCAAGCAGCAGCATGCAGCAAATATATTCTATATCTCATAAAGGAAAAGCATGTGCATTGTTGCCCATTTCATAATCACAATCTTGCATATAGACATTCAACATAGTGAAAATGAAAAAGGATGACTCATTTTGCTGTGTTTATGGCAGAATATATTGCCTGAATTTCCCATTTCTTCCTGGTCTTCTTATGAAATGTTTAAATACCTCATTTATGTAATCTGAAATAAATTGGTATTCGCTGGAAAACATGTTCTGTTATTTTGATGGATAGTAACAATTGTGAATAGCAACTTTAATGACAACAAGAACGACCTTTATATTGACTTATTTCTTACACAATTTTCATTAACAATCATTCAAGCAGGAGTCTGTCCAAATGTTTTGATCACCATCAATCGCTGCTTGTATCCCCTTTATTGAAGAATGTTTATTCATTTAAGCACAACTTATACAAATTTATTTTTGCCTTTAAGGATTTAAATGCAAAGGTGGGTGATCCATCAAAACAAAGCCTTTTGGGCAACATGAAATGATAAAAACACAGGCTAATGCCATAAATTTCCAAAGTAATGTTGCACATCACATGACTTGAACAATATTCTTAAGAATATTCCAAGAATCGCTGGATTAAAAAACATTAGTTTTGTAGCATGACTTTTTTTTCAATACAACTGTAATGAAGTTTGACAAACAGTTGTACATACCTTCTCATACTCCCATTGGTAAAGTTGTTGATATCCATGGTGTAGATTCCCTGTAGAAATGTCCATAGACATATCAGGAAGGCAAACCAACTGTATTTCCCAGAAATAAATATACTGTAGCAAAACTTTGGTGATATCTACGTATTTTAGCATGGTGCATACTTTTGTGTATGCTGTAGAAGTCCATAGATAATAGTACTTAGTAAGAGCTTGCGGTGCATGCAAGCATTACTGATGGTATAGGAGGCACAGTCTGTACTGTGCTGTAATTAATCTTATCACGCCCTTCCCGTTGTTTTCTTCAGTTGGATATGACGCTTTATATATTTTGTATATATAAAGAAAAGAAAAGAAAGCAGGAAAGAAAAGTTAAAGGAAAACACTTTCATTTTAATTTTGAAATTTTGTCATTTTTACTGGAGGTAAGTATTCCTCAGTACTAGTAAAAACGACTCACAAAAAGAAAATTACTGTTTTTATTCGCAGTCATTGCCAACCCCGCCCAATATACAGTGGAAAATATGTTAAATGT